CGTTTTCTTCAACACTCATTTTGAGTTGAAGCCATTTTCTGCAACACGCATTTTGAGCTGTATCCGTTTTCTTCAACACTCATTTTGAGTTGAAGCCATTTTCTGCAACACGCATTTTGAGCTGTATCCGTTTCCTTCAACACTCATTTTGAGTTGAAGCCATTTTCTTCAGCACGCATTTTGAGCTGTATCCGTTTTCTTCAACACTCATTTTGAGTTGAAATCATTTTCTTCAGCACGCATTTTGAGCTGTATCCGTTTTCTTCAACACTCATTTTGAATTGACATCATTTTCTTCAGCACGCATTTTGAGTTGTATCCATTTTCTTCAACACGCATTTTCAGCTACGCCCAAAATAAAATGCTCACATAAGAATAATTTTAATTTTATAATAGTAGAAGATTCGAAAACATCTGGATGGATTTACTTGAAATTTTGTATTAAAAAAAATGAGCGTTGATACACTAATTAGGAAATTCATTCCATTTATAATACAGTTTAATTTTTGAGTATTTTATTTATTATTTTACTTCTATTTAAGAGCGGCCCTTTGCATTTAGCATGAGCGTTAGATCCCTTATAACCCCTTAAAAATTTCACAATCTAGTGCTGAAACTTGGAGAATCTTAAATTTTTTTTTCTCCCGTTTTTCTTTTCCTTTTCACAGTTGTAAAGGAGGCTTGTTGATCAACAATGTTTTTCCTTTCATCTTAAATATTTGCGAAGACTTTTCCTTCTCATGAATAATTCAAGTGTTGCTCCCCACCCCCATTAGAACGTTTTAAGCCTCTTTTCGTCTTTTGATAAGAACAGTCATCACTAAAAATCCAAAGTGGTCATTTGAAAAGAGAACACAGTAGAGGTAACAAAAAGGGGAAAAAAAACACCTCGTATTCTAAAGCATGTAGTGTTACTGTAACAATAGCGAATGATAAAACGAGCAATTACGTAAAACAAATGAAAGTGCTTAATGACAATGCGAAATGGGGGAGGAGATCGTCCCCATCACTCCATCTTTTATTATTTTTTTTTTTGTTCTAACGTTCGTTATAAATGATCACTTTAGGTCGTTTGCAATGACATTTATAGGAACTTTGAAAATCGGAGCACGCAAAGAATTGTGAAGAGTGAGTTTTATTTCCCACTCGAATCGATCACTGAAAAAAAAAATCGAAGTAAATATAGGAATGTATAAAATCATTTATTTTTTTCTATGTATGAACTATGGGAATTCATATAAACTTGTTCCAGATTTATTACATTTTCAAAAAACAGTATGATTCACATTTTTTATTTCCTTTTTATAATTTTATCTACAGTCCCTGTTCAAAATACTAGAAGTACTCTAAGATTCTGTGTAAAATCTTAATTATCAGGTGATACTCTATACAGCTGTATTGTTTTTAAGCGACCGGTTTGCACTTGTTTACGTTCGTGTATCAAATGGGTTAAATGAGACGATATATAATATAAATTCGACGATTGGATAACTTGTACGATATATCATATAAATATAAAATATTTATCTTAGGATATAATTTATAATAATTGAATCAAATTATTAGACGCACTGTAGTTTTTTAATAATGAGAATACTATAGAGCTGTATTGTTTTTACGATACTGAATTCCCGTTGCCGCACGATAAGTTAATCAAATACAGATACGTATCCATTCAACGAATTAGTTGAAATATAATTCTTTCTCGTCTATTTCTTTTACTTAACTTAGATTTTTGATTTGTTTATGTATTTTATTGTAACAGTGATACATTTCTGTTTTGTGTACCTGGCAACTTCGATGCATTATTAGTTTGTTTATGTTCCGCATTACTTCGTACCTACTGTCTTTGTGTTAAGTCTCCGTGCAAATATATAGTGACGGAATTGAAATCTTTGAGAAAGAATCTTTGCGAAAGAATTCAGAGTGTGCCACTTGAGAGAATTGATACTTGACGGGGCTTGGCTTATTCACAATAGAAGAACAGTTGCTAACTTAAATAAATGCCACGTTCCAACAACCAATCAGTATCGAGATACCCACACTACGTCACTTGCAGATATCTTATTGCATCACTCTTCTTTCATTGAAGTGTCCCGCAGTGGACCGATCGTTAAGACACGGTTCCCAGGAGATCACCCAAGTCAAGCATCACTTCCTGCTTTCAGTGTGTGGGTGGGTGACCACTTGGATCAGTCTGAGTAGGGACCGACGTTTTTTTCCTTTCCTCCAAGCCCTGAGCATGTACCTAGGTTATGAAAAACTCTTAACCATATAACCCAGGACTTGGCCACTAGTCCAGCTCTACTCCAGCCTAGGAACGGGTCCAGTCAGCGGTATTAATAGTAGGGACCGACTGTGTGCAGTATTGGTCATCGTTAAACTGTTCTACCGTAAAGTGCTCGACTTCGCTCGTAGGTCGTCAGGCTACCGAAGCGGGGTGCCATCCCCTCTGCAGAGGATCAAAATTGTGAGGGCATGTCTTCGGATCATCCTCAGGGCTGTTTCCCAGACCGCAGCCAGTAGCTCATTGTGCAGCTCTACTGCGACGTAAATGAACTACAGAACAGAACTTTCATTGAAGTTAAAATCCCTCTTTCTACAAGTATTCCTAAACTCACAAAAGGAAGGTTCCAATGTTGAACCTTAATATCGATACCGTGTATCATAATACGGTTCAGATTTAATGGAACCTTACAAGATTTAAATGAATCTTCTTTCTCTTCAATTTAAATAGTGCTGTTTGATTAAGTTTAGGAGTGCGATAATATTACTATATTGTATTACTGTTGTAATTTATAGTATTACTATTTGGTATTACTATATAGTATTTAAGAGTACTGCTTTTAGTGTAGTCGTACCGTATTTTAAAGAATTTTTGAGGACACTCTTTATAAAGCTTTTGAAGTTGTAAATAAAAGGCAACAGAATAATAAACTCGAAAGAATGTAAGCATTTTCGAAAATTTTTAAAGATGTCGAACATCCTTTTGAATTATTTTTAGTACCATTTAACGAGCATGCAAAAATATTCATAAATCTTGTATAAAAGATTCAAAATGGTTAAATTTCAATTTTTTTTAAAATTGAGGTTTCTAGCTCTTAATGCCTTTAAATGTATTAGAACCAAATGTTTTGAGAGATATTGTTTTTAAGTTGGAAAAAATTACAATATCATTACTTTTAATTTAATTAGAGTAACACAAATAAAACTAAATTCAAATACTTCTTTCAAAGAAAGAGATGCACATTAAATTTGAAGGAAAGTTAATAGCAATTTTTTTTTTCGTATGAGAAAATAAATTCTAAAACTTTTAGTGTCGATACTATTTAAAACCTATTAAAGTATAGAAAATATTCTGACGTGATTTTTCTTCCAATTTACTTTCCTACAAAATTCCGGAACGTGTAATGCGTATTCTTTAAATTAAAATTTGTCTAAGAATTTATGAAAGAAAATAGTTTGTGAATAATAGTTGGACAATATAAAAATATAATCAAAATAGTGTCATATTTGTAGTTAACTTAAGAGCGATTTACCTTTAATATGAGCTTTAAAAAAAATAATAAAAAAAACGACTTTAAACGTATTAGAATT